GAGGGCAGTGGCTGGAAGCCTCTTTAGTTGTTCCATTTCTCTTTCATACGCAGTCCAACACACACTTAAAGCATGCAGCGGCTATTTCCCAGAACTTGTCTCAGCCTCTGGCCTTCTCATGTGTTTGGGGAAGTTTTGTAGCTGGACTAGTCTGCATCAGCAGAACAGGGGGAATAAAGTGACACTGTGAGCGACTATGAGCTCAGAAGTTTAGCTGCAGTGGCACCACACACCCATTTCCTGTGCACAGAACACGACGCAGTTTATAAAGCCGTGGCTGCAGCTGCCTTACCGGGTGTTGCATGATGTATGGTTGATGTGCCACCCAAGAATGACTCTGCACCTAATGACGAGAGAGGCAGAATGAGAGACAGATGCAAAGAAAGAGGATGAAAGCAGCAAAACGTGTCGCCCATTTACAAATGCAAAACAATTTATCTCATCTCCACCTCAGTAGTTTTATTTGTGGACTGTATAAGAGTAGCTCTGCACAATTTACAGTTCAAAAGTAATGGATCATTTGAACCTTTGGCCATTTAAGAATTAATATATATGACAAAGAAACTAGGACGCATACTAGGATAGAAATTGAATGATTCTAATAGTCTGAATCACAAGCCACAGGCGAATCAGCATAAACGCCATCTATCATCATAAAGACAGCACACTCCTGCTCAGACATAAGAGCCCCAGTAATAGCCGAAGCCATCATCTTTTTAAGTAAAAGCCTGGTTGCTTCTCTTGCGTGGCACTAAGCACACCAGTTGCTTCATAACTCCAGTTCTGCCTTCAGTACTGAGCCTAATCATCTCCATTAAGGAGTTCATATGCCTTACTAACAGCCTGGGTGAGGTCCACCCTACTTCTGCTCAACTGGTCTTTTCCCGAAAACCCTTTTTTACAGTTTTTTATAAGCTTAAGCTGATTTTTTGTTGTAATCAGCTGCCTTCCTCGTTTAACTGTAAATGTAAGCCTGTTAGATGTTAAACAGTTATCATTTAAATTTGGTATGGGCAATATACAGGAAAGCTCTGGCAGTAGAAGATCATAGTGTTGCAAATGTAAAGGCATTGCTTTCTTGGAAACAGGTTAAGAATCTATTGGAGTTCGTGATTAACTCCTCACGTGATCCGAGTATCTACTACACAGCTCTTAAAACTCTGAAGTGAATTTATCTGCGACCATCTGGCAGACGGCTGGTGAAAAAAAATAAACTCAAATCAAAACTTAAATTTATCCCTCCTGTGCAAGTGACAGACCTTTTCAGTGGTTTGAGGTATTTTCCACACAGAATGTCATTCATTAAAACTCTTTGGCAACAGGAAGGAAGACGTGAGAATTCAGAGAAACCTTGACTCAGAGATGATGACTGTGCCTGCTCAAATGATGAGTTTGTTCCAGCGAACTCCTAAGCTTACTGTCAGATAACACGAGCTCTGTTCACACATTAAAAAAAATGCAAAACCACATGGAGCTTCCAACGTCTGAGGCAGCCCAGGAAAATTACATTCATCCATCTATCTTAACTGATTTAGGATGTGGGGGTTGGAGGGGTGGAGCCTATCCCAGCAAGCATTGAGCAAGAGGTGGGGTACACAGTGACTAGGCTGCCAGTGTAAGTTGCATATACAAGCAAAAGGATCCACCAGCCCACACACTGTAACCTCAAATGTGGAATACAGAAGAGTGGACAAGTATCGAGAAAGCGGTTCAGCTCTTAGAAAGGGTTTTCTTGGCCCATTAAAGGGATATTGTGCAGTACCTGGTAAGCAGAGACTGGAGACATGTAGGGAGCCATTGTGGGCTGCACAGTCATTATCCTGTTGGTGACTGGATAAGGAGAAGCATAGTACCTAGGAAACAAGACAGTATTTTACAACAAAGCTTGGGAATTATGAGGCTAGTAAAGTGTGAAATGAGGGCATGAACTGTTATAACCAGAGTGCAACTTACCCGTTCTGTATAGCTGCTGAGGAGGGGTCATAAGTGAGAGTCATTGCCCCCTAAATGACAAAACCATCAAAAAGGTAGAATTACATAACTGAATTATTAGTTCTTACTACTTTAGCGTAACAGTAAAACACCATGAAACCATAATTGGTGAAATTACCCTTTCATTTCAACGGTATGGCTCAACAGACCCATACAATATTCTTGATAGACTTGTTAGAAGAAGATTGATTCTCAGTAATAAAAACGAGGTCGCACACATGCAAGATAGATGACATTACGTACTAATCTGAGATCCGCTGTCTGTCCGTTGGGAACAAATCCGCCATGAGCATGTTTCTTCCTTTGACTGTCAGCAAACTTACACAGCAAGGGCTGAGAGGGTGCTGGGGAGGAGGGATGTGGAAAAAAAACAAAAACAAAAACCCTGACATGTTAACAATCACTCAACAATTATTAATCACCGCCTCTGCGGTTTTCATCTGTGGGAAAGTATCCAGAAAGGGGAAACTCTTCCCTACCCAGAGCTCCAGAAGCCGTCTTGATAAACTTCCCATTGAAGTGGGAGATGACTGCATTGCACTGCTCTGTTGTGTCCATCCTGATGGAGGAGAGGATGAAACAACAACAAAGACTCATCATCAAGTGACACAGAGATCATCTAAAGTCTTCTTTAACGCAGTGATGCTGGCATGACTGGAATAACTCGGATTCTCATTTTTGTGACCATTTACATTCTGTAGGGTTTATAGCCAACAACCGGCATAGATATGTGAAGTGAAACAGGAGGCAGTATAGGGTTATATGTCCAGTTATCGATGACTGCTTTGGGTTTTGCACTGTAACGCCAGATTCTGGAGGAACACAGACAACACAAACACAGCCTGTATGCTTCGTGTTTGCTGTTACTGACAGCAGTGTTATGCAAAAGCATGTCTTACACAGACAATGAGCCAAAACTGACTCTATTTAATAAGTCTGAGGGCAGAACACAGGCTTGTTTGCTCTACATTGCAATAAAATGGTACCTCAAGTGAGCTATTGTATTACACAATGTCAAAAGCAAACGGTAACAGTAACTAATGCACTGTTAATTCTATGTCTAATAAAGGAAGGCAGGTTACAGATTGCTGTGCTAGGACAGGAGCTGCACAGTGCCACTGCTACTTCATAACACAATTTATCATCATAGGTTTGCTGAAGGTTTATGTTGCACCTCCTTTAATACCGATCAAACAGGAAAAAAAAAAGAAAAGAATGTTCTTTCTGTGAGTCTCTTGTGACAGACCTGGCAAAGCCCACACCTCGGCTGTTGCCGCTGTAGTCTCGTAGGATCCGCGTGGAGACGACCTGACCAAAGGGCTGCAGCATGTTCTCCAGCTCTTTCTCATCCACAGACAGAGGCAAGTTGGAAATGTACAGATTTGTGGGGTCCTGTTCCTGCTGCTGCTCGTGTTGAAGGAGACAGAAAAGAAGAAATGCACTGAATGCTTTAGCATCATGTCACGATAAAATGAAATCAACACTCACAAAGGCTGTGTTGTGCCATTTCTCTACTGACAAATGAATGCATGACACAAAAAAAATAAATTCTCTGCATGAAACTTGCCTGGGCGCAGATCAACTAAAGTGTGGTTAATGGCTAGAGGAACATTTGGTTAAACAAGCTCTCCTGCACACACAGACACACACACACACACACACAGTGTTACACACTTCATCCGCACTGTGCAGCAGCTCAGCGCCTCCACAGTCTTCCCTAGAAACAGCAGGAGAGCGGCGTAGCCTAGCTACCGCAACACACAAACTGCGTTCAGCCATGTTTGCTCCAAACAAAGCAGCTACATGCAGGTCTCCAGTGAGCCACCGCACACCAGTGAATTCTAAACCGTGAATTCAATCACACGCAGCATGCATGTGAAAGGGAAAGGACTGGAAGACATTAGCCCACTATGAGAGAAATCACAGATATTATGCAAAAATATCCTTGTGTGCTTTACTTTCAATTGGCCACAGAGGCTCGAGAATGCCTCAACGCTTAAAGTGCTGCTATAACAGAGCACTGCTGCAGATATCACTATGTATAAATAGCAACTGCAAATACCCAATAGCAGTAAAGTTCCTGGTAAAATTCTGTATAGTGTATAAAGGAGAGTGGGTAATGTGTTGCACTGACAGGTTATTTGGCAGAGAGAGATGTGACATCTGGTTTCTACAGTGAAAGTAAATGGGGTCACGGGAAGAACAGCTTGTCAGCTGAGGTCATGTGACCGGTCTAATGTCATTCCCCAACACACAGTGGACACAAGCGTGCACGCATTAAAAAACAAAGGAAGAAAAAAGCACAACCCCAGAGAGATGTTCGCAAGCATAACAAATATGCACAGACATGCACATGTGCATGTACCAAACTCACCTTGGCCATCTGGGCCTGTATGCCGCTGGTTTTCAGAGCATGGACTGCTTTTAAAGCAGCCGCTGGGCTGTCAAAGTCCACAAAGCCGTAACCTGGAGTTTGCAGAATAGTATTTACATCAACAGTCAGTAAGTGATAACATCACTTACTGAGATATATA